GAACCACACATAACTGGTCAGAACCTCACAGAACCCAGTGAGAACCACACAGAACGCAATCAGAACCACACAGAAACCAGTCAGAACCACACAGAATTGAGAACCACACAAAACCCAGCCAGAACCACACAGAACCCAGTCAGAACCACACATAACCCACTGAGAACCACACAGAACGCAGTCAGAACCACACAGAACCCAGTCAGAACCACACAGAACCCGTCCCAGCATCTGAACACAGAGCCCAGTCAGAACCAGAACCTGGTCCAGTCTGGTTCCGCAGCAGAACCTCACAGAGGATCAACTCCAGCTCTTAGAGCCTTCCCCCCCCTCTGAGGTCTGCATGAGTCCCATTGTGTACCCACAAGGTACAGAGGTCAGAGGTCAGGGGTCAGAGGTCAGGGGTCAGAGGTCAGGGGTCAGAGGCCAGAGGCCAAAGGTCAGAGGTCAGAGGCCAGAGGTCAGGGGTCAGACCTACACAGCTCATCAGACGACTCTGGGGTTCTGATCCTGCCCTTCTCGTTCTGGTTTTTCCTCCCCATCGGGCTCAGAGGACTCATGTGGGCTGAAACAGGACACAGAAGGGATGTCAGGCCCCGCCCCCAACAAGCCACGCCCACCTTCTGCCCCCAATAAGCCCCGCCCATATAACTGCCCACTTACAGGCTCCGCCCACCCCAACTCCCTCCAATAGGCTCCTCCCACCTCCAGACTCCAACAGGCCCCGCCCACCTTCTAAACCCAACAGGCCCCGCCCTCCTCAGCAGGCCCCGCCCACCCCGACTCCCTCCAATGGGCCCCCCCCCCTTCCCCACTCCAACAGGCCCCGCCCACCTCCTAAACCCAACAGGCCCCGCCCACCCCAACTCCCTCCAATAGGCTCCTCCCAGCTCCTGACTCCAACAGGCTCCGCCCGCCTGCTAAACCCAACAGGCCCCGCCCACCTCCTGACTTCAACAGGCCCCGCCCACCTCCTGACTCCAACAGGCCCCGCCCATCTGCTAAACCCAACAGGCTCCGCCCACCCCGACTCCCCACCTGAAGGCCTCGGCGACAGGGACTGCAGTGGCGCCGCCTGCGAGAACCCGGAGAACCCGGCGGCGTCCTGGGGGCAGCACTGGGAGGACTGGAGGCACTGGGAGGACTGGAGGTACTGGGAGTACTGGTCCTCCGTGGGCACCGAGGGCTGGGCCGGGACCGGACTCCGTTCCCGTGGAGACGGGGACCGGAGCTGGTACTGGGAGAAGCCCCGACTCTCGTCGGTTTCACAGGGACCCAGGAAGGAGGAGGAGCAGGAGGGGGGGGGCAGGGATGAAGAGGAGGGGGGGTAGGAGTGCTCCAGGGGGCCGAGGCGGGCCAGGTTCTGGGACAGGAGGGCCACGTTTGGGTCCAGGTGGTCTAGGTGGTCCAGGTGGTCTAGGGGGTCTAGGGGGGCCCGGGTGGGGTCCAGAACCCGGCGCTGGACCTCCTGCAGCCTGCCACACACCTGAGGAGAGAACCCAGGTGAGATCCTGGACGGGATCCACAGCGACCCGCAGCTGGTTCTGGTTCTGGTGGTTCTGGTGGTCCTGGTTCCGGTTCTGGTTCTGACCTCCACCATGGCCGGCCTCTTCTTCCTCCGGCTGTGGAGGCTCCGGCAGGCCAGAACCGCCACGTCCCGCCAGCCCACCGGGTCAGGAGCACCGTCTGTGGAACCAGGGAAGGAACCATCAGAACCAGAGCAGGAACCGTCAGAATCAGAGCAGGAAGCATTAGAACCAGGGTAGGAACCGTCAGAACCAGGGAAGGAACCATCAGAACCAGAGAAGGAACCATCAGAACCAGGGAAGGAACGTCAGAACCAGGAAAGGAACCATCAGAATCAAGGCAGGAAGCATTAGAACCAGGGAAGGAACCATCAGAAACAGAACAGGAACCATCAGAACCAGAGAAGGAACCATCAGAACCAGGGAAGGAACCGTCAGAACCAGGGAAGGAACCGTCAGAACCAGGGAAGGAACCGTAAGAACCAGGGAAGGAACGTCAGAACCAGGGAAAGAACCGTAAGAACCAGAGCAGGAACCTTTAGAACCAGAGCAGGAAGCGTTAGAACCAGGGAAGGAACCCTCAGAACCAGGGAATGAACGTCAGAACCAGGGAATGAACGTCAGAACCAGAGGAGCAAGCATTAGAACCAGAGAAGGAACCATCAGAACCAGGGAAGGAACCATCAGAACCAGGGAAGGAACCATTAGAACCACAGTAGGAATTATTGGCTCCATCACGGGAACCATAAGAATCAGAGCAGGAAGCATCAGAACCAGAGCAAGAACAATCAGAACCAGAGCAGCAAGCATTAGAACCAGAGAAGGAACCATCAGAACCATGGAATGAACCGCCGGAACCAAAGAAGAACCCATCAGAACCAGAGCAAGAACTACCGGAACAAGAGTAGGAACCATCAGAATCGAGACAGGACACATAAGAACATGAGTAGGGGGAAAGAACCATAAGAACGGGAGCAGGGAATCAGAACTAGAGCAGGAACCATCAGAACCAGAGATGGAACCATCAGAATCAGAACATAAACCATCAGAACCAGGGAAGGAACCGTCAGAACCAGAGCAGGAACTATTGGAGCCAGAGCGGGAACCACAACAATCAGAGCAGGAAGCATTAGAACCAGAATAAGAACCATCAGAACCAGAGCAGGGACTATTGGATCCAGCACGGGAACCATCAGAAACAGAGCAGGAAGCATCAGAACCAGAATAAGAACCATCAGAACCAGGGAAGGAACGTCAGAAACAGAACAGGAACCATCAGAATCAGAGCAGGAACCCTCAGAACCAGGGAAGGAACCATCAGAACCAGAGCAGGAACCGTCAGAAGCAGGGAAGGAACCATCAGAACCAGAGCAGCAAGCATTAAAACCAGAGAAGAAACCATCAGAACCAGGGAAGAAACCGTCAGAATCAGAGAAGGAACCATCAGAACCAGGGAAGGAACCATCAGAACCGGAGCAGGAATTCACCTGGCAGCAGCCGTCGGTCCAGTTGGTTCCGCCAGGCGTCCTCCATTGGGCCGTTTGGGCCGCCCTCCAACTCCTCCACCAGGGACCGCTGTGGACCAGAACCAAGCCAGAACCCTCAGAACCGGAACTCAGAACCGCAAGAAGAAGGTACTGTCATGCTGTTTGAACTGGGTCGAAGTTCAGATCCAGTCTGGACCATCAGAACCGCCTGTCTGACCCAGTCTGGACCGGCTGGTCCGGTTCTGGACCATCAGAACCGTCCCGGTTGACCCAGTCTGGACCATCAGAACCGACCCGGTTGACCCAGTCTGGACCATCAGAACCGACCCGGTTGACCCAGTCTGGACCGGCTGGCCCGGTTCTGGTCCGGTTCTGGCCCGGTTCTGGCCCGGTTCTGTCCCCTGCAGGTGGGTGCTCTGACCAGGTATTTGTCCCCTGACTTCTTGTCCTTCTCCAGCGCTCGGCGTCCGGTCAGAACCTCCAGCAGAACCTGGAACGCACACAGAACCCGGGGTGACCCAAAGCCCCCCTCTGAGGAACTCCATTTCCCATCAGCCCCGGCGGCGGCCGCTCACCACTCCGAAGCTGTAGACGTCCAGGGCCGTGCACAGCTCGCCCCTCCTCACGTACTCGTCCGGGAGGTAGGCCAGCGTTCCGCGGACCGTCGCCGTCCGCCCGATGGAGGCCGTCTGGGTGAAGGAACCGGAACCGGAACCCCCGCCCGGCCCGATTGGGCCGAACCGGGCCGGGCCGGGCGGCGCCAACCGGGCCAGGCCGAAGTCCGACAGCTTGGCCACCAGGTGCTGGTCCAGCAGGATGTTGGAGCTAAAGGGACAGAAAATAGCAGCCATTTTGTTCTCTGTTCTTCCACTGAAACAACCTATGATTCATTCCACTGGATGAGAACCTATTCTCTTTTAAACGGTTCCTGCTCTGGTTCTAATGGTTCCTGCCCTGGTTCCAATGGATCCTGCCCTGGTTCTGATGCTTCCTGCCCTGGTTCTGATGGTTCTTTCCCTGATTCTGATGGTTCCCCCCACTGGTTCTGATGGCTCCTGCTCATGTTCTTATGGGTCCTGCCTTGACTCTTATGGTTTCTGCTCTAGTTCTGACGGTTCAGACAGGTTCTGCTGAGGAACAGAGGAACCGCAGGGCCCTGCCCGGCTGTCCCCTGTGACGGGTCGGACCAGTTCTGGAAAGTTCTGCTCCGACCCACAGAACCGGACAGAACCAATTCAGCAAAAGTGGAAAAATATGGGCCATTTTTTCCTTTGATTCTTTCCAATGGATCAGAACCTGTTCTCCTTTAAACAGTTCCTTCCCTCGTTCTAATGCTTCCTGCTCTGGTTCTAATGGTTCCTGCCCTGGTTCTGATGGTTCCTGCTCTTGTTCCGGTAATTCTTGCTCTGGTTCTGATGGGTTCTTCTCTGGTTCTGGCAGTTCCTTCCTTGGTTCTGATGGTTCCTTCTGTGGTTCTAATGCTTGCTGCTCTGGTTCTGATGGTTCCTGCTCTGGATCCAATAGTTCCTGGTGCGGTTCTAATGCTTCCTGATCTGGTTATAATGCTTCGTGCCCTGGTTCTAATGGTTCCTGCTCTGGTTCTGATGGTTCCTGCTCTGGTTTTGATGGTTCCTTCCCTGGTTCTGATGGTTCCTGCTGGTTTCTTCCTGATTCCTGCTCTGAAATTGGGGCCATTTTGTTCTTTGTTCTTCTCCTGAAACGTCCTTTGAGTCATTCCAATCGATCAGAACCTGTTCTCCTTTAAACGGTTCCACTCTGAACCAATCGGATCCCTGACCCACGCCTGCTGATCGGATGACCTCTGACCTTTTCACGTCTCCGTGGATCAGCGGTTCCTGGCCGGCGGGGGGGCAGTGCAGGAACTCTAAAGCCGTCGCCGCCCCTTTAAGGATGCCGACTCTGTGGGACCAGGAGAGGGAGCAGCAGTCCTGCAACACACAAACAAACAAACAAACAAACAAACAAACAAACAAACAAACAAAGGGCCAGTTCAGCGGATGCACAGGAACACGTAGAACACACAGGAACCGGAACCGGAACCAGGATTACGCTGTGCAGCTGGTCCTCCAGGGATCTGTTGCTCATGAAGCTGTAGATCAGACACATGGAGCCGCCGCCCTCACTGAAGCCCAGAAGATCCACGATGTTGGTGTGACGGAACCTGAGGACGGAACACATTATATCTGTGGTTCTACTGAACACAGAACACGGAACGCATTCTGTGTGTGGTTCTACTGAACCTGAACACAGAACTCATTCTGTGTGTGGTTCTACTGAACCTGAACACAGGACTCATTCTGTCTCTGGTTCTACTGAACCTGAACACATTCTGTCTCTGGTTCTACTGAACCTGAACACATTTTGTCTCTGGTTCTATAGAATACAGAACAAAAAATACATTCTGTATCTGGTTCAACAGAATACAGAACAAAAAGTACATACTGTCTCCGGTTCTACTGAACACAGAACAAATTCTGTCTCCTGTTCTATTAAACCTGAACCCATTCTGTCTCTGGTTCTACTGAAAACGGAACATATTCTGTCTTTGGTTCTACTGAACACAGAACACATTCTGTCTCCTGTTCTATTGAACGTGAACACGTTCTGTCTGTGGTTCTACTGAACACAGAACTCATTCTGTCTCTGGTTCTAGTGAACACAGAAAACGTTCTGTCTCTGGTTCTACTGAACCTGAACACCGAAGTTATTCTGTCTCTGGTTCTACTGAACCTGAACACATTGTGTCTCCGGTTCTACTGAAAACAGAACATATTCTGTCTTTGGTTTTACTAAACCTGAACACATTCTGTCTCTGGTTCTACTGAACCTGAACACATTATGTCTCTGGTTCTACTGAACACAGAACTCATTCTGTCTCTGGTTCTACTGAACCTGAACACATTCTGTCTCTGGTTCTACTGAAACACAGAAAACGTTCTGTCTCTGGTTTATACTGAACCTGAACAAAAAAAGCCATTGTGTCTGTGGTTCTACTGAACACAGAACACATTCTGTCTCTGGTTCTACTGAACCTGAACACAGAACACATTCTGTCTCCGGTTCTATTGAACCTGAACAAATTCTGTTTCTGGTTCTACTGAACCTAAACACATTCTGTCTGTGGTTCTACTGAACACAGAACACATTCTGTCTCTGGTTCTAATGAAAACAGAACAAATTCTGTCTGTGGTTCTACTGAAGACAGAACACGTTCCGTCTGTGGTTCTACTCACTTTGAGAGTTTCTCCACTTCAGTCTGGAAGCTTTTTCTCAGCACAGACGAGTCCATCAGAGAGTCCTGAAACAGGAAGCAGCACAGATGAGCCGACCGGTCCTGACGGGACGCGGTCGCCGTGGGAACCGGCGCCGTGGTTCCCGACGCTGCGCTGTGATTGGCCGACCTGGCGCAGCCTCTTGACGGCGCAGTCCATCCTCCTCAGAGTGGCTCGGTACACGACCCCGAAGCCTCCCTCCCCCACCTGCAGGGCGGGGGAGAAGCCCCGCGTCCCATCATGCACCTCTTCGTAGGCCCAGACCATGACCGCCCCCCCCACGCTGGACGGGCCGCCGGTGGCGATGGCGGCGTTGCCGTCGGCGACGGCGGCGTTGGCGGGCGGCACCTCCTGTGGATCCAGACTGTTATTGACCTTCTGAGTGTTACCAATCCTCTAGTCCAGTGTTTTTCAACCTTTTTTGAGCCAAGGTATAGTTTTTCATTGAAAAAATCTCGAGGCACACCACCAACCAAAAAGGTTAAACAAATCTGTATCCGCCTATAGTTACACTATAGTTATTCTTATCTTATCTTAAGTGTCATGAATAGTAATCAAATAAACACAAAAAAAAATTTTTTATCTTATTTTATATTACTTCTTTCAAATTGCACTTAATATGACCACTTCAATATGCAAAATTATATACAAAATCTAGTCATAAGGAATTATTACACGATTAAGCCACCAGTCACTAGTACAACACAGACACTCAAAAATGGCATAATATTTCCAGATTATTAATTCCTTATCAAACAATCTTTTTAGACCAATTAGGTGAAATAGGATGATTTTCTACGGCACACCTGACCATCACACTAGCGTACCGAGGCACAGTGGTTGAAAAACACTGCTCTAGTCGGTGGATGTTTATGTTTATGTTTATGTTTATGCTTTGGGCGGCTCCCGGGGGCTGGCCCACGGAGTACGGGTTGGGGGGGGGGCGGGCGGGGCCAGGTAGGCATCTCCCCTCCCCCTTACCGTCCGACCAATCAGCTGAGGGGTGAGAGCCACACTCGTTTATGTTTATGTTTATGTCTATGTTTATGTTTATGCATTTGGCAGACGCTTTTATCCAAAGCGACTTACAGAGTAGACACAATATTACACTTAGGGGTCAGCACAGCCCTGTTTGGGTCAGCCGTGAGGGCCAGGGGTCAGAGGTTACCTGTCGCCGGGGGCAACCAGGGGAGGGAGCTGGCGGGAGGGCAGGAGGGGGCGGGGCCAGCAGGACGCAGGGGGGGGGGCGGCGAGGGAGCCGGAGGGGGCGGAGCCAACGCCGACAGCCCTGCAGACAGGAGGAGAGGCAGCTAGAGCTCTGGGTCTATGTTTATGTTTATTTACTTCTTTAATCAGGACAGTGCACATTAATGAACAATCTCATACAGATTGTAAATGAGCCAGATTCTAGCATAGTTGCTAGTTTACAACTGTCGTCCTCAGGCAGGAAGACCAAACAACACAAAATCACAAAATACAAAATCAGTCCAAACACACGTTCAGACAATGACATTACAAAATTAAAATGAATTCAATTCAATTCAATTTTATTTATATAGCGCCACATCACAACAACAGTTATCTCCCAGCTTTCCAAACAGAGAAAGTCAGACCCTACTCTGAAGTTAATTACAGAAACCCAACAATTCCCACCATGAGCAAGCACTAGGCGACACAGGCGAGGAAAAACTTCCTTTTAACAGGCAGAAACCTGGAGCAGAACCATGGCTCAGGGTGGGGGGCCATCTGCCTCGGCCGGGCCGAGGTCAGAGGTCGGGGGTCGGGGGTCAGAGGTCAGGGGTTGGGGTTCAGGGGTCAGAGGTCGGGGGTCAGAGGTCATGGGTCAGGGGTCAGGGGTCATGGGTCAGGGGTCAGAGGTCATGGGTCAGGGGTCAGAGGTCAGGGGTCATGGGTCAGGGGTCAAGGGTCGGGGGTCAGGGGTCAGGGGTCACTCACAGCTCAGGACGACGTCGCGCGGCCTGAATAGCTGCAGGGACTCCAGCAGGTCGATGAGCTCGCCCACGCGGCCGTTCCTGATCCCCCATTGGTTCATCACGTAGTCCGTCCGCCGGTCCTCCCTCTCGGCCAATCGCAGCGAGGTCTGGTCTCTGAGGACCTCAGAGGCTGGGGGGGGGGCAGAAAGAGGGTCAAACCGGGGCTCTGGACCCCCTCAGGGGCCGGTTCTGGATCCAAACCCAGCATGCCCATAGTCTTACGCATGCGCGAACTGCGAAAAGTAGCGAACACTTGGAGAAACCGACAGATCGCCATACCTTTCGTACATAACTAAAGGGATACACGCCTGTTGAGGTAGTTTACAGTGTATTTTTCGTACGAAACTAAAGGGATACTCGCGCGTTGAGGTAGTTTAAAGTGTATTTAGAGAAGGGTCTAGCATCTACAAAACGCGTCCCGTACAAAACACACCTCCCGCCCAGCCAATCGTTGATTTTGATTTGGACATTACGTCATCTTGGATACAGATTAATTGAAGTGAATCAAACGTGAGCATGATGCTTACTACCAGCAAGGTTGTAGTTAGCAGATAAAAAAGTAATGATAATCTTGTTCAATGTTGGGATTAAAGGAACAGTTCAATCGATGATCAAATTGATGTACAATTTTGCCACGTTTTTTATTTGCTTATAGCTTCTAATTTTCCAGGGACTGCACATGCTTTAAATACGAAATTGTTAGAAATAGCATTTCTAAGTTAATTTGTAAACAAAATTACTTGACTTTCGGTGTTGTTTTCTGGTAAGTTTGTGTGTTTACCTTAAACTACAACCTTTTGTTTATCATATCACGCATCAAGTAGTCTAGTAAACTTCGTCAATGTTAATCTCTTAGATTTCTGCTAAAGGTAGCGCATGCATATTAACTATGTGTATGCTGGTCAGATGGGGCATGGGGCATGCGAAAATATGACGTCATGCGCATGCGTATTGGCTATGGGTATCCTGGTCTGTCAGACCTAACAGAACACCGGCCAATCAGAGCCAGGCCACTGCTGGACCCCCCCAAAAACCCGGAATTCCCGGCTCCGTGACGTCAGAGGACCCCGCCGTGAGGGCAGCGAGTGACGTCACGGCCCCGCGTTTTTTTTTTTTTCAGAAAACAAGCCCCGGCGATGCTAGCAGCTAGCACGCGGTGACCCCCGGTTCCGGTCCAGACTCACCGAACCGGGTCCAGTCCAGGTCCGACAGCCCGTCCATGACCCGGCAGAACTCCCACAGGACGGACGAGGGCAGGCTGTAGATGAACTGCCCCCGCGGGTCTCCTCCGGACATGTTTTTTCTCCACCGGAACCGGACCTACCCTCCGAACTTCGCTGGTACCGACGGGTTAACAGCAAATCCACCGGACCCACCGGGACTCATCAGAACCCGGGGAAAAGCGGCCCGATAAAACTTCCCAAACTGTGCCCACAAGTTCAACTACTTCGAGACTTCCGCCCAAAAAACGTTCAGCAACCACATCCGGTCGCACCCACAAAAAATAAAAGCCTCTGTTTACATTGGATCCGAACGGGTCTAAACCGGGTCCCGGTGGGGGTTTGGGTTGGTTTCACTCAACCAGTCATTAGTGGGAATAAAACTGGGAGTTTCTGGGAACAACACATAACAACACCTGGTGAATAATACCTATTTAATATCACCTGGTGAATAAAACCTACTAAATTACATCTGGTAAATAACACCTGGTAAATAAAACCTATTTAATAACATCTGGTGAATAACACCTGGTGAATAAAACCTTTTTAATGACATCTGGTAAATAACACCTGGTGATTGAAACCTTTTTAATGACATCTGGTAAATAACACCTGGTGAATAAAACCTGATGAATAAAACCTGGTGAATAACACCTGGTGAATAAAACCTATTTAATGACATCTGGTAAATAACACCTGGTGAATGAAGCCTGGTGAATAAAACCTATTTAATAACATCTGGTAAATATCACCTGGTGAATAAAACCTATTTAATAACACCTGGTAAATAACACCTTGTGAATAAAACTTATTTAATAACGTCATGCGCATAAGTAACATCTGGTGAATAAAACCTATTTAATAACATCTGGTAAATAACACCTGGTGAATAAAACCTATTTAATAACACCTGGTAAATACCACTTCCTGAATAACACCAAATCCTCAGAGCTTTATTTCCTACCAAAAAGGCCTGAACACAGACTTCCGGACCTTTCTGACTGAAGCGCCTTATTTCCCATTTTGTCCCACAGCATGAAAGCAGCATGATGTCAGCTCAGGAAACACTCACTTCTCCTTTTCTAACTGCTTTCTCTGGATGTTTGAGGTGGTCCTGCGTGCATCGTTTGGGCTCAGACACACTCAGTTTTCACTGGTTCCACATCATTTAGAGTTTATTTAGACAAACGAACAGAGAGCAGAGCACCATGACAATTACAATAATACTAATAATAATAATGTAATATAATAGTAATAAAAACAATACCAGGCAGCAGAAGTCTCATAAAGATTCATAAAGCAGAGGTTGATATGATGTAGACCTGTGAATCTGAGATTTAGCCTCTAAAAAGGAATGAATATGTTCCCATAAGATAAAGATGCTGCTTTTCCTACTGGGTCACTGGTCCTCACAGGGTCACATGACTTTGTAAATCAAAGGAAATCAAAGGCCTCTTCTTCCTCCGGTTTTAGAAGGAGAGTTTTATATCTGTGCCTGTTTTGAAGCATAAACATAGTGGGAGCAAAGACAACAAAATACTCCAAAAAGTACGTTTTTAGGGAGCAGAAAGTCATTAAAACAACCGTCTGTACTGAGCAGCACCAAGACGACAGCTGCAGACAGCTTTTCTCTGATAAAATGTCTCAGAGAGGTGGGTTTAGAGCCCAGAGAGATGGAAAGGAAGGCCTGAGACCCCAAAAAGTATAGGCTGAAACTCGAGGTATAACAGTAATAATTACAGAGGTGTGTAATCACTCCCCATTTATCTCCTCTGTTTTTCTGTTTATACTTTAATGAGGCTGCTGAACTTAATTTCCCTGAGCAAGTCCTTCCAAACGTTCAATAAAGTCGTCAGTGCTACCAAAATAAAACAGGAAATATTCTGGGATTTCCAAAATAAAACAGGAAATACGACATGGATTACCACACGTAAATTGGAAATACCCAGGGATTACCACATTAAAACAAGAAATTCCCGGGGATTACCTAAATAAAACAGGAAACACCACCGGGGTGACGCATTTAAACAGGAAATACTATAGGGATTACCAAAATAAAACGCTCAATGAGTCACAGCAGGTGTGGGAGCTGGACATTTCCATTTGACACCTGAAACACAACCAGACATGGAGAAATCCCTGCGTTGGCTTCTTCAGAATCAGAATCAGAATCAGAATCAGAATTAGAATCAGAAATACTTTAATAATCCCTGAGGGAAATTATTTTTGTTACTGGCTCCATAAATAAAACAACGGCATATGCATATATACATGTCTGTACATATATATATACAAAATTCCTCATATAATATAGATAGATATATACATAAAAAAACTATATGTATATAAATAGGTCAAAATTTTGTCTGCACACCCCACCTGATGGTCTGCGTGCAGCCATTGCACGGCTGATGCTCACAGAAATAATAAATTCACTTGGTCACCACATCTGGAATGAGAAATGATGAGCTCTTGTTGAAGAGCATCTGTCATCCAGTGCCTCCCTGGCTAATCAGAGGCCTACAGTCTGTAGAGTCTTTAGAGTCCACTCAGATTTGAACCTGGAGCTGAAACTGTAACTGTCAGGAAGCACCAGACAGAGAGGCATAAATGACTATAGTTGTGTTAGATGAGTTTCTGTTTGCCCAAAGCCAGTCTGAGCCTCCTTCTGGTCGAGACAGCTTTGAACACCTAGGCCAGATTTAGTGGTCTTTGTTTTAAAGGAAAGCTGGTTTCTTTTCCAGGCTTAAACAGAGGTGTGAATCTGTTCGGTTTAGGGTCAGAGCTGAGGACCATAGACCTTCAGATCCAGGCTGCTAACACCAGTTTGAGGCTGGAGCTGGTGGACACAGACCAGTGCTTCCCCATTTGAGTCTGAGTCCGGTCTGCTGGTGTCAGAAAGCACGCCGGCAACAGTTTCTGTTTCTGTTTCTGTTTCTGTTTATGCATTTGGCAGACGCTTTTATCCAAAGCGACTTACAGAGTAGACACAATATTACATTTCTCATCACAATGACAATAAGCTATACAGAGGAGAAACACTGATCAGAGTCAGTGGTGAGATAGAGATAGAGGTAGAGGGACTACAGAAGGAGCTGTGGGGGGTAGAGGTACAGGTTAGTTTAGCTGAGCTAAATGCTCATCTCCAGTCAGGTCTGAGCCATTCGAGGAGCAAAGCTCAGAGCACCACAGCTCAGGGGAAGGTGAACAGGCTGCAGCTAAACCGGCAGAAGAGGCAGCCAATCAGAGCGCTTTGCAGCACAGCTGCTTCCTTCCTGCTGCTCTTGTTGTTTTGCATTGAGCTGGTAACAGCTCAAAGTTCCTGATTTGTTTTAAGTTAAAGACTTAGACTTACACAGTACTTTATTGATCCCTTGGGAAGACTCCCTCAGGAAATTAAGGTTACCAGCAGCTTAAAGGGCAAAAAGTATTAAGTTATTAAGTTAAAATTAAATTAAGCAAACAATATAAATAAAAAAATACAATAAAAAATACAAAAAATACAGATTAAGTACAGTGTATATAATAATAGGAGTTGTGATGATATTAAGCAGTATTATTTTTATTATTCTCTTAATATCATTGTTTCAATCATGTGAGATGTAGTAAAAAAAACAAACACATATTGATTTGATATTTTATTGATCAGAATTTGTGTTTCCACAGAAGAAATAGACAGTTCCTATTTTCTCAAAGCGGACGTGAATGCGTACGTACGTCTATGAACGCGTCGGCCTGACGTCACTGAGCTCAGATCTCGCGAGGTTACGTGGCCGCGTTCCCACCCGCCTTCGTTCGCCGAGCGGAGCTAGCTTGATGCTAGCTGTTAGCAAACAAACACCTGGGTTAACGGGGTTAACCCGGGTTAACGGCTCAGCCTCCGGTTAGCATGGTAATAGCATGCTAGCAGGCCGCTGCCGGAGTGCCTCTGAGCACGCACTACCGTACATATGTACAGTTTTTTGAGAGTTTGAACTTTATTTGGGTCGAATTGTATGGGGAAATTTACTTAATTTTAATAATAAAAGTCCTACTTTTTACTTCACAAAAATGTTCTAAGTCTTTCTCTGCTCTTTTATTCTGTTGTGAATGTAGTTTGGGACTGTTTTGCCAAATAAAAGAAAAGAAAAAATGTAATATTTCAAGCTCCAGCTTTGCTTTGACTTAAACAGAAAGTACATTTGTTTAAATGTATTTGATCTACTTAAACTGAATCAGCTCTCCAGCAGAGCTCTGCATGCAGAGGGTTGCCGGTGCGAATCCCTGCCCCACTGCATACTGCCTTTGTGCCCCTGGGCAAGATGCCAAGTACTTTATCCTTAGTTATTGTTCTCATTCATTTGGAGTCAGTGTCCAATGTATCAGGAAAAATTTCCGCATTTGTTCAGGACTGTTTAAAAACTTGTTTTTAAGATTGAAAAATGTTCAAATACTTTCAATACTTAAGTAATTTTTAAAGCAAAACTCCAGTTTGTTTACCAAGTTTTACTTTCACCTTTTACTGGAGGAATATTTTATCAGTTGGTTCTGTACTTTGAAGTAATACTTCAATACTGTACTTATCTGTATTTTTTGTATTTTTTTTGTTGCATTTTGCTCTCTGTGTGCCACTTTTTTTACCCTGTAAGATGCTGGTAACTTTGATTTCCTGAGAGAGTCTTCCCAAGGGATCAATAAAGTACAAGTCTAAGTCTAAGTAATGAAACTGAGTACTTTGTCCACCGCTGTGTGTCTGAATATGATTGTATTCTATCATATTAATGTCTATTGCAGCTTGTGTGTAAACCTCAGCAAGATGAACTCTTCATTTCCTTACCTTGGTGTGGACATTATGCCAAATCTTCCATCCTTCTAACCTGAACCCATGAGTCCGGTCTGGTTTGGGGCTGTATTTGTGTTTTCGTACCACTAGGTGGCAGAAGCAGACAGATGCACGGAAACCGTTTCAGATTTCAGCCTCCAGTCACAAGCAAAGTTTAAATGCAAACAGCAGACTGTAAATGCAGGACCTGTGTCAGGGTGATGTATTATTTAGCTTAGAAAAAACCTTATTTCTGCTTCTGGTGGTTCTCTGAG